ACATTAAGCCCACCCTACCCCAACCCTGTCGCCTTTGGGGGAAAAAAACACTACAAGTTAGGTGGTCAAATCTATAAAGATCAATTCTCTTCTCGTTCATGTCGGCGTCTTCGGCTTAGGCTTTGCGAACTCGCTTCGCAATGCCGGAGAGCCGGGTTCGATCCCAGATGTGGGCCTTGCGCTTTGCCTTTGTTTCGACAGTGGTATCAAGAAGCCGACCGTCCAGTAGCAATAGTAAACTACTGGACGTAAATTTGCCTAGGAAAAAAAAAAACAGCGAAAAAACGACGGGGTTGCTTCTGTAAAGAGTACACAACTAACACGACGTGGTATTCGTGATTCAAAACTGGCGTTTAAAAACTTCAAAAAAGAACTATGACAGGCCGTTCAGTGTCTTATCGATAAGATAAACTAACTGCCAAGGTCAGAGAACGAATACGCCAAAAGCTATCGACGTCTGCATGTGAAGACAATGCAAAATCAAAATGAATATGATGTTGAATTTGCCAAACATGCGTATGCAATATGTTTACTTTGTCCGTTTTGTGTACTTACCGTTCTCACATCCATACATCACCATGTGATGTAAGATGTTCACTTTGTCAATAATAGGTTCGTTGGCGATGATGTGGTAGTCCTGGTCACTGGGGAGGTCGAAGGTCATGCAATAGTAATTCGTTTCTGATGGTGGGACCTTGGTTTGGTTGAACCGAAGCTCAAGTGTGTGTACATCTAAAAGAGAAACACAAAGGGCAGATATTCAAGAATAGATAAAGGAAGGCATATGTGCTTAAACTACTCGTGTAGCTTAGAAGTGACGTTTGGATCAGTCAATCAGTCAGTAGCATGTTCTTTGCAAAACCGTGCTACCTTAACAACCCTACGGAAAACTTCTCGATCACAACCAAGATGCCCTACGTCCGATACACCCATCTAGAAATCATCCGCCACATCCTGCACCAATCTTCTCTTTGGTCTTCCTCTTCCTTTCTTAACAGGCATATACCTCTCCATTTTTGTTATCTTCAAACTTTCGTGACGTTTCAAGTGACAAAAAAATATTTCAATTTTCTGTGTTTTATTGTCTTTAATAGTCAACTGTCTTCAATATTCAGTTCTTGAAGTATGGATGCATATTTGCTTTTCTTTACATATTATATTCTGAGATCCCGTCTATAACATTTGTATTCAAAGGCATGGAAGCCTGTTCTATAGGGATCACATGGAGGCAGTTGTGGTGAAATGCCAAAAAGAACTCAGTGCACACAAGATTATGGCAGCAATAGACATGGAACGGAGAATGCTGTTGACAACGTTCCAGGATGTGATCCTGTTGGTGATAGATTATGGACTTGGAATGCTTACCATATCAAAGAGTCAGCTGATAAAACTCGAACGCATACAGAATGAAGCCATGCTAGTATTTATAGAATGTACAGGAGACACCCTAATAGTATGTGTGCGATATATACTTGCCCTGCCTACTATTGCAGAATGGCTTAAAGTTTTGCAGGTAAAGTCATTTCTCAGAGTAGCTGCAGACAAGGAGCACCTCCTGTAGGAAGCTCTGAATAGAGCTAAGGGTCACAGACTGAACAGATGAAGGTCTTGGACGGTGCAGGCTAAAGACACAATTGGAAATGTGTGCAGGCTTGATAATTTTGAGCGAGGAGAGTTGGTCAAGGTGTCCGAACAAGTTTCAGACTTGTGTAGGGCTCTAATCACGTTAGGTCGTGAGTTCAGAGACTGGCTAACCGGTGCTGCAGAATCAGAAGTTCAACAGATGATTCATGACAATTTTTCGCCCAGGTTATGTGATTATCTATATAGGTGGCTCTGTGTTACGGGGCAGACGAAGTGCATGGAATTTCATAGAAAAGGCGAATGGACGTCGCCTAGTGCAGCAAAGCCTTGCATATGATATTACAACGTCTAGTTTGATAATGGAGGTGGAGGCAGTCTCTGTTGCCTTCCGCTGGCCTGAGAATCAGCTGTAAACACATGATGTGATTGTAACTGACTCACAGAGCATGTTGAGAACGGTGAAAACAGGCATGCTTCGTGCAGAGTGTAATGGCAAGCATCCCTTCAGGAGTCCCGAGTAGTTTGAATTCTTTGGATATTTTCTCCAGGTCATGTCGGTGTGTTAGGAAATGAGCAAGCGGATAACTAGATGGCTCTGCACCACTTGATGGTGAATTCATGTATGACAAGTTAGATATTGAGAGGTTCCTTTGGGAACGGTTGAACAGTGCGGAGGCGCAGATAGATCACTACGCATGAACATAATGGCGCTGTGTGGGTTTATCAGCGGACGCTCAACACTAATGGGAAGGATGAGACAGATTTACAATCAGACATTTACTGGTACCATTGAAATTGGAGCGCTTCGTTTGTCGCTGAAGATGGGGACTGAGCACTTATGGGAGTGTCCCTAGTGCTGTTATGTTGATTCCTAATTCAACATTTAACATTTATTAAAAGGCATTACCGCTAGCAATCTAAAACCACTGTTCAAGGATATTAGAGAAAAAAAAGTGTTGCCTGATGACTGGACTGAAGGAACAATAGTCCAAATCCCCAAAAAAGGAGACTTGACAGACTGCAATAATTTGAGGGGAATTACTCTACTCTCAGTACCAAGCAAAATATTTTGTAAAATCATCATAATGCGGCTTGAAAAAGAAGTAGATAAATGCCTACGGGTAGAACAAGCAGGATTCAGAAAGTGCAGAGGAACAACTGAGCACATCTTCGCCATAAGTAACATTTTAGAACAATGCAATGACTGGCAGAGAAGTATATATATATAAATTTTGTGGACTGAGAAAGCTTTTGACAGCGTCCATTGAGACAGTCTGTAGAAAATTTTACGACATTATGGAATTCCAAGAAAAATAGTCAACATAATTGCTCTCTTCTATAAAGACTTTTCCTGCAGTATAAAAAATTACAATACATATTTCCCAGTAAAGACAGGTGGAAGACTGGGATGTGTTATGTCATCTCTCTTCTTCAGCCTTGCCATTCATTGGATACTAAAGAACACAGTAGACAGGACATTGAGAGGCATACGATGGACTCCATTCACCATGCTTGAGGACCTTGATTTTGCAGATGAAATAGCACTCCTATCACATAAACATGAACATACACAAGAACAAAGTAACAGACTACACAGCACAGCAGAAATGGTAGGACTGAGAATAAATACTAAGAAAACTAAGATCATGACAAGCAGCCCAAACCAACAACCAGTGACCATAAATAACCAAACTAGAACATTTCACATATCTTGGCAGTGTGGTGTCCCTGCCGGGAGGGACCAAAGAGGACATACAGTCACGTCTGAACAAAGCTAGAGCTGCTTTTGAAAGGATGAGGCAAATCTGGAAATCAAACAGTTACTGCAGAGGAACGAAAATCCGACTCTACAAGAGCATCATTTTGCCAGTTCTTCTTTATGGAGCAGAATTCTGGCGAATGACCACAAAGGAAGCACACAAGCTGTCCACCTTCCACCACACATGTCTACGTAGAATTATCAAAATTTTCTGGTCAGATACAATCTCAAACACTAAACTACTTCAAGTCACAAACCAAGAAACTTTAGACAGTATGTTAACCAAGAAAAGATGGAAATGGCTTGGCCATGTTATGAGAATGAATCCTGAAATATCCGCGAAAACAGCTCTCACATGGACACCAGAGGGAAAGAGAAAACAGGGGCGCCCAAAAACAAAATGGAGATGAACAATGGAAAGTGACCTGAGTGCGGCATAATCGACATGGAAAACTGTACTGAAGATTGCACAAGACAGGAAAGCATGGAAAGTCCTCTCTGCAGCCTCATGTGCCACTAGGCGTAACGAGAACTGATGGTGATGAAAAAACATTACCTGATCAGTTATCAAAATTCAAAATTTATAAGGAACCACTGGTCTGTGTTTATAGAAAAATGACAAGGATATTCACAACCATCAAATTAAAAATTATTATTAAAAAAAAAAAAAAAAAGAAAAAATAACATATAGCACTAGGCTCTTTTCTTTTATTTGACCACATCTCATGAATTCCGGGAAATGTCTAAAATTATTATTGGTTTAGAATTAAGGTTAATGTTAGACGGTGTTCATTTCGTCCCCTAAAACCCCTATACTATTGGATTTTTCCGAGATTCCCATACGAAACATGGAGTCCGAGATCGGATGAAAGAAAAGAAAAGAAAAGAATCCAACACTATAATGATCATTTTATGGAGACAAATAGCTCACACATACGTCAACCTTGTCCCACCTTCCCCCCCCCCTCTCTCTCTCTCTCTCTTCTCTCTCTCTCTCTCTCTCTCTCTCTCGCTGTGTCTATCCCCATTTTCTTTTAGATTCTTGTTAAAGGGCCAGATAATTTAATCTTTTTCTCCTTAATAAACTGTTTGACTGATTCCAGGCCTACACTACAACAGTGAGCCCCAAAGAGGCCTGATGATTCTGTGAACTTACCTGAATTATTCAAAACAGAGCAAGCCTCGAATCGCTCCATCTCACAAGAGAGGAATGTGTTCTTGCCCTTGCAGAGTTGACTGTCGTAAGGGTCACACACACCTGCAGAAAAAGGGGCAAAAAATATATCACCCTCCCACAATGATCTGTTGTGAGGATACAGTACCAATGTGTGAGTAGAGGTAACGTAGTGTCTGCACCGTTGACCTGCAGGTCCAAAGGGGGTACTTTATTATTAGCCGATCACAAACAGGGAACATTTTCTGCTTGACTTGCTGTGATCGTGGAGACCATGCGAAGCTAGATCACCACAAGTCTCCTATACGTTTACATTCGCTACTTTGCAACAAAAAATACTTTAAAAAAAACAAAAAAAAACAGACGAAACGAGAGTCCAACTGCTACGCTACCACAGATTCTGGACATACGAAATCAGATGTTTAAAAATAGTAACCTTTAAGTGAGTTTAAGCAACAATTCTGAGATCATACATCTTTCCCGTAGGAACTTGTAATAAACCCTTCTCTCACCTGTAAGCATTGCATATATGATGCTAGAACTCCTTATGGTCCGGGTTCACGCCCGGGGTAGGCAGAAAAGCCATATTCCTCCCAGATTTACGGTACCTATCATGGAATCAAGGCCAAAGGGTTGCGATATCCATGGTACCGAGCCAAAGGGTTAACAACACATGGTTTCTGGATACTTGAAACAAACAAAAATATGATGCTGTATGTGGTCACATAACATCGGCTCAATTTACATCCCTTGATGTTACCTGGTACCTGTTTTAGACTAGGTCGACCTGGGCCAATTTTGTAAAAAAATCCTACTCGATTCAAATTCAAACCTTTGCGGGCGAACGTCTAGCCACTAAACTAATGCGGGTCCCATAACGAGTTACTAACGCACATTATTTATTAACTGGCACCATATACACAAACCTGGATGGGAAATATTGACGGTTCTTGGAGGAAGGGTCCCAAATTTCCATGCACAGTTAGGATCTCCCAGTTCTTCGCCGTTGGTTTTGCCATCGCCATCGGAATCAGATTTACACAGGGCTGGCGTCCACTGCGAGAAATGGGCAAGTAACAGAAATTATTATTTATAGAGAAATGGGCAGAACGTTCTTGGGTTATTTGGATGGGTAGGCAAAGGAAACAGATGTCAGCTAATTTAGGCTCGTATACTCTCTCTCTCTCTCTCTCTCTCTCTCTATATCTCTCTCTCTCTCTCTCTCTCTCTCTCTCTCTCTCTCTCTCTCTCTCTCCATCTGTCTGTCTATCTATCAATTTATGTGTATGTCTGTCTTTCGGTTTATAAATTTATCTGTCGTCTTTTTCTCTCGTTCTTTCTAACCCTCTCTATATCTCTCTTTCTCACTCTGTTTCTTCCTCTACCTCCCTCACTCTCTCTCTATGTTTATCTGTCTCCACATCTCTCTCTCTCTCTCTCTCTCTGCCTTTCTTTCACTTTTGAGTCACTCTCCCTTTGTCTCTCTCAGCTGCTTTTTCTCCCGTGTCTCTCTCTCTCTTATACTTGCCTTTTCCATTTCAATCTCTCGCTCTCTCTGTCTGCTGCCTTCCATCTTATGTTTTGCCCCATCCCCCCCCCCTCTCTCTCTCTATCGCTCTCCCTCTCTCTCTTTCGCTCTCTCTCTCGTACTCGCTTTCACCTGTTCAGTCTCTCGCTCACTTATTCTTTTGCTTTCCCTCTTTATTCTTTACTCATCTCTCCCCACCCCCTTTTTTCGCCGTCTTAATATTGCCTTCTCTTTCTTCACCTCTCGTTTACTCTTTCTCTTCTTCTTCTTTTGTCAAAATCTGCTTGTGCCGCTAGGCGTCGCAGTCTATCAGATGATCGGCAACCGAGCCAGGGCGCGCTCAGTCGCTTCATATGCCGTGATGTTATGAAGTCTCAAGTTGTCCGTGACTCCTTTAATCCATCTTTTTCTTGGTCTTCCCCTGCCTCTTGGTGTTTCGATTTTCATGTTGTATGCTCTTGATGCTGGCATCGTTGGTTTCATTCTCATTAGGTGACCAAACCATTTCATTCTTTGCTTCTTAATAAATTTAACGATGGGTATGGTTCCAATAGTTCTTGTAATCACATCGTTTCTCACTCGATCTCTTCTGGTTTTATTCGCAGCCATTCTCAAACATCTCATTTCACAGGTGGTTAGTCTTCTCTCGTGTTCTTTTGTTAATGTCCAAGTCTGACATTGATAACCTAATGTCGGTATAAAGATTGTATTTATAATTTGTCTTTTTATCTCAGCTGGGACAGCAGGGTGTTTTAAAATTGGGGCAAGCTGGTATGCGACATTGTTGGCTTGTTGGATTCTTGCTTCGATCTCTCTGTCTATTTTACCATTGGATGTAAAGATACTTCCCAAGTATTTAAATTCTTGCACTTGTTTTAGGCTGTGATCTAGAATCTTTATGTCGATGGTCTGTTGCTCTCTACTTATGCTCATGACTTCTGTCTTTTCAGTATTGATCTTCATATGATGCTTGAGGCAACTGTCGTGTAGTAGGTTTATGTGGTCTTGCAGCTGTTTACTATCACTGTGAAATATGCATTGATCGTCGGCAAAGAGCAGCTCAATAAAGTCCTCCTGTTTATCGATATCTGTTGGTGTTATGTCTATTTTATTAATATTGTCCATAAATATTATGAAAAGTAAAGGTGATAATACACAACATTGTCTTGCTCCTGATGTTACTGGGAACCAGTCTGTGATGCCAGTTCTTGTTCTAATATATATAATATGCACTCTTTTATAATATGCACTCTTTCTCAACATACCTTATATCCTGCTTTCTGAAAATCTAATCCAAAAGTATTTCTGTCGCCCCCACCTAAGGGGTTTTCATGTCCAACACCAGGCCAGCGATAGTTGGCCTTACAAGGATGCGGCACGTTGTTGCCGTTGGGAATCTGTTCTTGGAAATCATGAAATCCCAGTGATGTGGTCAGCAATGCAGAGAAACCCACACTGAAAACATTCAAGAAAAACGGTTGTTTGACTTTGGAAGGTTTGGGTTCGCGTCCTGACGGTACCGGACTTTTTTCACAAATGACCTTGACTCCCAGGTCGACCCAGCCTTGAGTGGGTACCAGGTGCAGTCATGGGAAGTAAAGGCGGTTGACATGATGACCACATCATCCACCAAGTGCCAATTAATCTTTGAAAATGTAGGCCTAGCCCTAAATTGCCAATATACCTAAAGGTGTGGAAAAGGGACCTATACTTTTTTTTTTGGTGTGACTTTATCAATAAATCAATAAGGGACTGTATTTATCACTTGGTCTAGGCCTCACGATGACCCAGTTTACAATGTATGAAAGTATGCAGTAAAAGATTATTTACACGCTACGGGGACTCAAACAAACCCCTAACGGGTGAGAATCTAACAGGTGCAAAGCGCTGTAACACCGTTCAACCGTAAAACACTGCTATGTTAGGGCACCCGATAGTTACTTAGTAAGTTGCAGTCCAGTATAGGTGTGCAAGGATATGTGCTTGTTCTAGACCAGTGGATTCCAACCCCCCCCCCCCCCCCAATAATTATTACTATCGCAGGGTTAGGAAAACCTTTCGTCTAGTGCAGCGGTTCTCAACCTTCCAGTAGCGAAAATTTTCGGACACAGGGGTCGCCAAAGACCATTGGAAAATACATATTTATTGAAGCCATGAAAAACAAAATTATGGATTGGGGGTCGCCACAACATGAGGGCATGAGGGAACTGTATTAAAGGGTCGCGGCATTAGGAAAGTTGAGAACCACTGGTCTAGTAGTTCTCGCTTTACGTTTTCCCTATTCGCATATTACCTGTTTTCCAAATATATTTATTTGGGAAGCAGCCGTGGTGTAGACACTGGCCTGCAGAGCGGACGGTGGTTGATTCAGGTTCTAACTGTATCGGAAGCTTTTTTTTTTTTTTTTTACATTGGCCTTGGCTCACAAAAGTTATTGAAGAGGTGCCAGGCGCAGCCCTGGGTGTAAAGGCGGCCGGAGTGATGCTGACAACATCCCTCATCATGTGTCAAGTGGTCTGTAAAATATAGGTCTAGTCCTATATGCCCATTAGCCTAAAGGCGCGAAAAGGTGTCCTTTACCTAATTTACTCGTGTTTACATTAATTTATTTGCCATTTGGCTTTGTATTGTAAGTAATCAATAATGACGGGTAGGAGATGTCGAGGCAGATCTCTACTGTTATATAAAGATGTGTGCAAGCGGGACATGAATGATATAGGTATTGATGTGGACTCATGGGAACAAAATGTCATGGACAGTGTGGTGTGGAGGGTCACACACGGAAGGGAATGAGAATGAAGGAAAAATTGACTGCAGAAAGGATGAGAGCTGAGCATCTGAGAAGAAAAAGCATACTAAACATAAATACTGACACCGGTCCGGAAATTCCATGCTAACATTGTGGAAGACTTCTTAACGCCAGCGAGTCTTGTTAGTCACACTCGCCATCGCCATGGGCTGTGAGTCCCATGCCTCTTCACAGCGCAATATAACACTATCGTCTGGACAGACGGAAAGGTGCTAATCAATCAGTTAGTAATCATTAAAACGGACATACACGCCTTGAGCCTCACAAGCTCCCTCCCACAAGCAAATCTGCAAAGGAGCTTAGGATCCACTCTCCCGCTCAAGGTTTTCTTTGTGACGACGCCCCCCCCCCCCCCCAGGAGGAATAACTCATTTCCTAACAAGCCCCACACATTTTTAGTACCATCTGTAGTAGTGGACTGTGGTAGAGCAGTGATCGCATGCTTGCCTGGCAAACAAGGGATTATATTCTTGAATGCCCAACCAGGGAGATTTAAAAAAAAGACCCGGATCATCGAATCAGATAGAGATAAAAATTAATCGCCTTTACTACTCCCAAGGACATGTTCACCCAGTTGTCCCCTCCATGATCGCATTCTGTAAGATAAACAAAGATGAGAATCAAACAGATGCAAATCCTGGAACCCCCGTTCAACAAAATGAAAGTCTGCCTTATGCTGTTTCGAGCTGCAGACCTACGGGGAGGAAGGCAGGCGTCAATGACCACGTTGCAGCTGTTTATCTCCAGTGATTGGCATGAATTCTCATAACACTTCACCTTGCTAATCCAGATTTGAGATATTCTTATGATGACGATAATTTTCAACCCCACCATGACATCACAACGAGTGATACACACCCGATGATACAAAGTGCCACCAGTCGAATAAGGATAATAGAAACCAAGTTCTACTTATAAGTTTGGTTTTTAATAGGGCCCCCGGCAACAGCCCCTGGGGAGGGAGGGGGGGGGGCTTTGAAATAACAAAAAATTAAGTCCGACATTGACTAACAGACGTTTTATCCTACAGGACAACTACACAGAGTGATAAACATCTGGTGACACAAAGTGCCACCATGAGGATGAGATCAACCGTGAGAGGTCCCAGAAACCCCGTTCAACCGATTGGTTGGGTTATATCAGGGACCAAGCAACAGCGAGAATGTGGCTTCAAAATAACGAAAAAGTGAGTACCACATGGGGACGGCAAATTAGTTATGTCCTACATCGGGACTTAAGAACAGTAATCTGATTATGTCTAGCCTTTCTGGCTACCACTGCAGGTTTCATCTAGTCGTTACGGTGTCCCTTCAATTATTTATTTAGGGGTTTAACATGATATGTGGGATTTACCCTGCTGATGTATCATCTGGATTGAGGTTTTATAATCTCAGGGCATCAAACTTTCAGACAGCAGCTCGGAGAGGGTATAACGGAGCAGAACCAGTATGTGATAATCTTCCTTGTTATTCGCAGAGCCCAATTTGTGACCACCGCTAGCGACATTAATGTTCGGTTGTCAGGGTAACAGCGTTCCGTGAAGTTCTCAGATACAATTGTTAAACGATTCCTGTGGCTTCTTTATCCATACACTGCGTTTGCCACGATTTAAGGTCTCGTAGAAGTCGCCTTCGGAAGTTTCATGTCATCTTCTGCAGCAGATTTCGTGTAAAAATAACATTTTCTTCTCTTTACCTTGGCGGGCTATAAACTCCGGCACAAAGATGAGGTTGTTCCACAACATCTGGACATTGGTCATATTCCAGAACTAGAGTCTTGATTACGGACCCGTTTTGAAGATTTGACATATTTGCAGACAAACTGCTGCTTTCTCGCCTATGGGGGCTGCGTGGTATCGTGGTATGGTGTACGCCTCAAGTACTAGAGGCTCCATGTTCAATACCTGGACTTCTGGTAATTCCCTCTAGTCTCTGGGTAGTGAGATCAGACGCCCGTGTGAGTTGTTGGAAATCGCAAAGTGCAGCCTAACGGCACAGCCCGGGCAAAATTTGGAGCTAAAATTCTACTAAAAGTATTTTAGGATCCTCGCCGGTGCTACCGAGCTTGTGCACTGTGACGAGCTTCTTCGGACTAAGACTTGAGTTAAAAGAAGAACTGACCACTTATGGGTTACTACCAGTGTGCCATGATGTTGGTCCGTTGTTCAAACCTAAAACCTAAGACCTCCATTTATGACATGTTAGTTTGGCTAGTTGGGGGATGGGGGCATTGCGTTTATATTCTTCTCTCAAAATAGGGCCATGGAAACGACACAGGAAAAAGAAATGACCATTTTTGTGCATCTTACAGCCACGTCGATCTTTCTGTAGATTTAAACAAGTTTTTTTTTTCCAGAAAAAAAAAACTGTTAATATTTTCTGTATCTTCCTTTTAGACGCATTTGCGTGGTCTTTAAGTCTTTACATATTTACATTTCAATGCTTTTCTTTAACGGTGTTTCTGGGCGATGACGTATCTTTATATCTAACATTGTCTCTATAGAATTGTGTATTTGTGAATGTTACGGCCATGTCGTCTTTGTTGTATATTCAACCACTTTATGTAACAGAAATCTCAACATATTTTTGAATTCAATTTTCCTCACATATTTGCAGGAGACCGCTTTCTCTGTTTGTTTAGCCGATCTATATTGTCTGCAAACTGCTTTCAATTTACTTCAAGTTTCTAATGTTGCAGGCAAATATACGTCACTGGCAGTTCTCCAGTATCAGATTACAGAACTCCACATGATACATTCTTTGCCCGTCTTCACGCCCTATTTATCTGAATAAAGATTTGCAAGAAACTGCATTTGCTGGTTATTAAGAAATTCACGTATTTATATTCCACGGCCTCTAAAAGTGAATAGAATTTTCTTTAACCTGCAACCATCCTCACTGTACATAAGACTTATTCAACTTGCATAGAATTTATTATAATTAAATATTTGGTTATTCATTTAAGTGTATTGACAGAACTACATCTGCATCGTGGTGAAAAAAGAAAAGGCAAACTTTGGATATCACGAGGATGTGATATGACAATTGGAAAGAAGCAGATATCGCAGCTTACATATAACCCTCTGCGAGCAGGGCCACCTTCCTTTTGAGGGCGGCTGCAGACAGAGAAGAATTAGGCGAAGTGGGGGAGGAGGAGAGGATCATGAAGAAGAAGAAGAAGAAGAAGAAGAAGAAGAAGAAGAAGAAGAAGAAGAAGAAGAAGAAGAAGAAGAAGAAGAAGAAGAAGACGAAGAATTGGATGCTAGTTAAGTCTCTTGAAGACACTTATTTTAGCTTTTAAGCATTTCGTATTGCTCTGTAAATCAATCGTTCTATGAAAGGGGCAGTAACAACTTGCAAGGAGGTGGCTTTAGAGTTGTTTTAATTTACTTTATAACCGAAATTCTATTTTAATAGAAGCTTTTCCAGGATCCTCAGAGCCTGTTTACTGTGCTAAGATTTTTGGGACTCAGACTTGAGTTAGAAGAAGAACGGAGCATTAATGGGTTACTACCCGTGTACCGTGATGCTGATCCGTTGTTCAAACCTCAAACCTGCTTCTAAACAGTCGGCTTTTGATACCACCGGCTAAAACAACACAAGGTGATCCGTAGCCTCCGCAGTCAATTAACCTTCACTGTCAACGC